ACAAGTCAAGTGTGTTCAAACACACCTCAGGTATGTAGTAGCTATCCAATCAAGTTAATTTAAAATCTTATCTATGGCCAATGATAAACAGTCTTGTATATTTGTACTAAGCCTACTTAATGATCGATGTTCATGTTGTGTTCTTTCTTTACATTTCCATAATTAAAGATGTAGGGGTAACACACTTATCTTCTAGTTAAGAGATGGTTTTCTTAGCCTTATGGCCAAAGTTTCTAGCATTCTAAGTTGAAATTCTTCCTGAGAATGGAAGATAATGCTGAACAAACTGGAGGTAGGAAAATCATCATATTCCATTAGAGAGTGGTTGAAAATACTACTGGTGTTGTAGGTTTTAGCATTACAGTGTTATTTTATTTGGCTGCAGAGTTTTCTAGAGGTTGATCCAATATATCCCTTGCTGTACCTTAGGCTCATGAACTCATATACCACTAGTGAGGAATCTGATGGATGTTTTCATTAAAGTTGAAGAACTCTTTTAACGTACATTGTTTTACACACACATTTTAACTAACTTGTGGATATAGCTATTTGATAATGAAAACTGAGTAACAACAGACTAAGGTTACAGCTCAATTAAGTAAGCTCAGTAATGCCATTTAATTTCAGTAAATTTTTAAAAAGGTCTGTTTTACACTCAGAATGTGTTTCAATTATTTTGGCTAGAACAAGAATAAGTTGACATTAAAAATTTTCTGCATTTTCTTTTAATATAAAAAGTCCTATAAGAATTAGAAGTATACTCCAAGTACTTTCTATCCAATTAGTCAGATCCTAAAACAAAATGTTATGGTGTCTGTATTTCATGGCCAAGCTTAGAAATAAAATCTATGGTTTTTCAACATACATCCAGTTGAAACTTATATATTCCATTTACTTATGTCGTAGTTTGTTTTTAGAAAATAAAAGAATATATCATTGTCAAATCTGAATGTTTTTGTGTGACAATTAAATAATGAAGCATTTAAAGTATAATCAATACAAACTGCAGTCCAATAATTGTGCAAGGGATCAGAGAAATGTTTAATTTTAGCAATACAAACATAATTTGGAGAATACACATTTAACAAAACTTTTTTGGGGAATATTTGTCATCCAAATAAAACCATAAAGAACCTGCTCAAAACTTAGAGAATGTTTCTAAAAAATCTAATCTGAAGATTTAAAATTGAGAAAGTGAAAGCTACAGTAGCCAATAAAGAAACAGTTACAAGTTAGAGCAAGTCTTCACGATGTGGGAATATACAACTGTATATTGAAATTTGTCCCGATAGTTTTGCCAAAAACTTGGGTTAGCACACAATATACAACAGAGCTGGGTAATTAGTAGAACTTTTGAATTGATTAATCACTGGATTCATTAAATGTTTATTCTCAAGACTAATCTTCTTATTTTCAAGTTCTTTTAGGTTTTTTAAAGACAGTTTTCAATCACCTTTGTTTTAAAATGATAAACATCTTCAGGTACAACAACTTAGGATTACATTACTTTTATAATCCCAATCTTTTGTACATGTAAAGGTATCGTATAAGTAATGTAGTAAGAAACCTATATAACAAGCTAAAAATATGATTAATATCATTCCATGAATTTCTTTCTACAAATGTTCACAAGACTACTGTTCTAAAACTACAAAATTTGTGTTGATGAAAATAAACATTCCCATGTTACCCACCCACAGATCTTGAGCTGCTCTTCACCAACACATAATGTCCCCAAGTTGGCATGGCCCAGTAGTTGCTTCATGAATTTATTATTGCAAATTCGATATGCAGTACCACCAACTGTGTTCACCTTTTCAGCCATAGTGGCATTATGGTGTCATGATCAATCCCACTACTTCTTGGTAAAAAAGGTGCTTTCACTCTTGTTTGCAGTTCAAAATTAGTATAAAATAGCCTTAGTATCCCTTCCATAACTCAAAAACAAATACATTGCTCCCACAGCTAAATGTGAGACAAAATGTTTGGTGGCAACAGGAATCAAGACATAACCACCCTAATCACAAGCCATGCCAGCCCACATCTAGACAAACTTAAATTAATCAGAAATAATAATGGTAATACTTCAGTTACTTGAATAGTTGGAATGATCGCAAATACAGATTTTGAGTAATTTTTATAAGTCATGAAACTAATCAAGCTTCACAAACTTGCATTAATTTTATGTAGCACTAAATCATGTAACTGATGTTCACAGGTAATCAATCATATTGATTAATCAAGTTAATCTCCCAACTTTAAATTGTGTAACAGTGCAATATTTCAAAAAAAAAAGAAGACTGCCTATATATGAAAACTACAAAAATCAAGAGTGGATATCAATTAAAACCAAATTAAATAAGCTCTCTTTCAACCATCAACTGAGAGGGATGTGCAAGTTGTTCCTATGAGTTAGATCTTGGTTTATCTTTATTTCACCTATTTCCATTCTTTAATACCTTGTATGTTTACTAAAGTTTTTAAGCAAACAGTATCCAAAATAAACATAAAAGGACATCTTCCTCCATATGTAAGTGGCATATTACTTCCAATTCTGAGGAAAATGTTCTGTGTATTGCAAAAATCTTATTTTTGATTCCAAAATTTATTTGAATATTAAAATGCTACAAAATTACAAAAAAACAGCTCCAATTCAAGTAAGAATATGGACAAAAAGGTCAACATCAATTCAAATAAACAATAACTACCTGCTCCAGAAGTCCATACTAAAATCTAATGTACTGGTAAATGGATTATTTCACAGACAATATTGTACAGCAGCAATGATCTTTCCACAGCCCCCCCCCCCCTGCATTTGAAAATAAGTTTCACACATAACTCATTTCTATTCAAATATATTACTGCTGACTTAGGCTTGATGGTGATTGAGGGCTGCACATGTTTAGGTTGCTTAACAATGCTATAGGTTATTTTTCCACAACAATGCTTAAAAACAGATTAAATTGAGGAGATTTGGTAGAAATTATAAGAACATATGAACAAAAGCAAAGAAGAATACATAATAATATTAAAACCATATTACATATGCCATAACCAATGCTGACTAGGCCTTTTGCCTAACTTCAAGACTCATCAGGTGCACTGGGATATGACAAAGTAATGTTTGAGGTGATATTTATATCAATTTCATAAACAACTGTTATGGTATGGACACAAATTACATACTTAAATCCAATAATCATTACTTAGCTTCTGGTTATTCAACTGAAGTACTACATTTACATACTTAAAATTGTTTACTAATACACTCTTCACTTTGCATACACATACATGCACTTTGTCCATAATAATTATTGTAAAAATTAGCATACTAAATATAACACATTTCAACACAAAATGATTCCAGTGAAAGAAGTTGATACAACAGTGTGCAGATTAAGGATTAAGTCCATCAGGAACCAGGGTCAGTTGGTACTAATTGGGTGGCCAAGGTTCATTCAAAAGGTCTATTTGTGTAGGTCTCATTTTTGTCTGATAGTTGTGACAGATGAGTAGATTTCAGAGTTTCGTTGAAGACTGAAACATGGCTGTTGTTTTGCAAAATGTATATGACAAATCAACAAATTCTCTTCATGTATATAGCTGAACAACCCAACATTGAATTTGTTTTTGGTAAATATATTGTTACGACAGCAGAAGTCACGTGATGCTGGAAGCATGCTTGACTGAGTTTCTCAAATTAACTGGGAACTCCGTAAATGTTGGAGATGCCTCTTTGTTAGTATATAAGCCTGGCAGAGAAAGCCAGCAGAAATGTTGATGAATGGTTGTGAACAGTAGTTACGGTGAGTTTCAGGTAATGTATGATTCTGTTTCGAGCTAGTGTGTGTTTTGCACTCACAGAGAGCGAAGTTATAGGGATTGTGAATCGCTGTGATTTATAGCACGTATTATAAAAGTTGCTAAGGTTAAAGTGATGAGAAACATTCTGACTGTGGAATTACTGTGTATTAAAATTTGTGTTGAGAAAAAATAAACTGGTTTAATCAAGAAATGACTTGTATCGCTGAAGTTCCTAAGAAAGAATATCTACCAGAAATTAACAAACAAGCAGATACATAACAATATAAATAGTGTTACGACACCGGAAGACATGCAACACTGGGAGCATGCGCTCTGGAATTTCTAGAAGTTAATAATCATCATGATGATAGATTTCAATCATTTTAATCACAAATCCAGATATTTGTACTGTAATAAAACTCAAAACAATTTGCACACATGTATATATGCAACATGATTATCTATCAATGTACCAGGTAGATGAAAATGTGTGTTTTGTTTCATGTAATTCTGATACCAGCAATGCATATATTATACAATATACGTGAATGAACTCTGCTATTGATCACTCCTTTTTGAATCTGTAATACTAGCCATTTTTAATGACTTGCCAAAATATTTCATAGATTGAAGATCACCATGCAGTTATGTGCTGGTTTTTTTTATTCATTTGCAGGCTATACATTAGTAGTTAAGGTATGTTCCTTACTCCAAACTAATACAAGTATTTAAGATCATTTAATGTATTTAAGAATATTAATATGAATAAATACTTTATTTAAAATATATTTTTTCTCCAGAAAGTTTCAAATTTGATGACATCCCATATCTTCCAATATTAATTCTTTAAGTTTATTTAATTGTTGGTCAAGTGGGAATAGCCGGACATTCTATACTTCCATTATACTTTTGTTTGGAACAAAGCTTTTCTCAGATTCTTTTTATATATTTTCAGATACTTAGCCAGGAGCACGTAGCCGACTGAAGATGAACGTGACATCCCGTTTGTCTGATTCACACTTCTGATAAAGATCAACACTTTGGCCTTACATCTAGAGATTTGAACTCCTGGCACGTAATTCTCAGGGCTGCAAGAGCGAAGACAGTATCAACCTCTCTTGAAAGTTGCTGAAGGTTTACAAGATGGAGAAATTCCACAAATACATTTATCATCTGCAATGTTTCAAGCTTTTCACATTAAAGAGACTTGGAAAAATTGGAAGCAGAGGACACAGAAGAAGTGGACACCAAGCATAGATCACTCTGACAAACACCTTCCACTAGCTCAAGGATAATGGAGAAAGTATCTTCTGTCCACCAGGAAAAATCATCAAAATGTATTAAAGGAACAAGAACAAGAGAGTGCATAACAAAATGTGTTGAACTGCAAGTACACACTACAGTAATAGACACTGCCATGAAAAGGTAATACGAACACATTCTTGCCATTGTATCAAGGGAAATAGTTGCTGCTGAAGTCTGGTACACAAATCTTGCTATAGGATATACACCATTACCAATCTACAAAACTGATAAAAGAGTTGGTCCTTGACAGTTAAATACCATAGATGTGAACCACAATGATGTCACGAATATATCACTATACAAAGATCTAGTCTGGTTTTTCACACTACAGGCTATCATGAGCTGGACTGGCTTCAACATCATCACAAGATAGGGCATGTCAATCTCACCAGATGTGGTTGGCTAACTTCCATCCATAAATGCACCAGCTACAAATATGTCAACTGTAAATGAAGTACTGAACCAATGTGATCAAATCAAAGAATCACTCCAAAGAAAATTTGTAGTTGTGTTTGACCAGGTATTATATTCAAAAGCTCTCAAAATTAAATGGAAACACCATGTGAAATTTCAGCACAAGACTGAGAATGGGTACGTTCCAGACAATTTGTAATCTACTGTCAATAGTTGGCAAAAGATTCCAAGATGCTGGACTCAAAAGCATCATTATATAAGCTGGCATTGTTGCTGAAGGCTCAGTCACAGCAGTAATGGAAAGACACCAATACAATAGAGCAATACAAGCCCAAAAAATGTATGTATAAAGCTTTGCTTCATCTCGCATGGAAAGAGTTCATTCTGTGGATGCAGAATTAGAGATAATTCATGACCTACATAATGACCTCTCTCAGAATATCATTGAAGACACTTTGCAAAAATGAACAACTTCAAGACCTACTGCATTACTTCTCAAACTTCTTAAATTATTGAGAAAAACAATGGCCCCTTATCTGCATATTGGATGAGCTACATCGACATGGTTAATGTTCTTCTTGGTCTGATATGTGCCTCAAGAGAAGGAAACTGGCTGCTGCACTTGGCATGCATTCGTAAGTGCATTCCATGGTGCTCTGCCTATGACAAAGTCAACTATGCCAGTGTCTATTATGCAGAAATGTCTCAGTTGTCTGAACATAATGATATTTATCAGCAGTTTACAGATGGAATGTTTTCAGTACAAATTGGATCAACTAACACATTTTGTAAAATACCTGTTGACCAAACAATTGAAGAAGCTATCAACAAAAACACAAAAACCCTAGGTGGCACATGTCGTTTCATCCTGAAAACTAGCACAGTAATACATTACAATCTTACTGCAATACTACAGTGCCTACATCAGACTATTACAAGAAATGCTTCAAATCAATCAGGAAAACTTTCACAACACTGTGCTTCAAACATCACAAATCATAAAGGATGAAAGGATAGTGTCTGCAGTAATCAATGTGATTGAAGATCTCATGAATCTATTCAAAGAGCCTCAAAACCTGCTCAATATCTCCAATGATAGTGTTGCTCCAAAAGATGTTGGAAAAGATTTAGCAACGGCAAAAGGACGTGGTGAATCAGCATACAAATCTTTCAAAGCTAACACACTTGAAACAGATCCACCAGTCATGAATTTTCATGATTGGCTTCCAAAAATATAGCTGAAAACTTTCACAGATGCTAACAAGAAAAAGGTCAGGAAATTGGCAAGCAGCAAGGAAAAACCTCCAGCTTGTTTGTAAATATGCTAATGGTGGCACAGACTCATCAGCTTGATATGCGAGAGGTACTGGAGCATCTGCTAGGGCCACTTCCCAAGTCACTGACTACTGCTGATGGCTTTCCCAGGAGAACCAGTAAATCAGCCCTTGCAAAAGAACATGCCACATGTGGAAGACATACGTACTTATGTCTTTTGGTGATATTGCATTTATCATTTTGTCAAAATCTCTCCAGGAAGTATCATAGTCTTATTGTATTGATGTTGTTTTCACGTTTACAATAAAAACTCAAACGTTTTGAGAGAGAAAAATATAGGATAAACATTGGTTCAATTCTGCTGAAAAACATTACAGCAAAACAAACAGTTGTCCAATGAATAAAATATCTTTCTGCAACATCAAACAAATCCAGCTTCATCTACTTTGTTGTACAAGAATAGAAGCATGCAAAATACAGAGAATACCTGTGAGGCATGGTTCTGTATGTGACATCTGGTGAGGACTGCAACAGAATAAGTTAGAATGAGAACTACATTCTTGTGCCAGGTCTCAAGTCGACACAGGAAGAGAGACATGCTTAATTTTGCATTCTGCACATGCAGCAAATGTAGGATTTGAATTTATTGCTCTTGTTGCTGACGATTCTGATGTATTTCTGCTAGTGCTTGATTTTAGTACAGATATAGAATCATTGGTGTATCTAAAACCTGCTGTCATCATCATTACCAAGAAACTGGAATCATTCACCTGCAAGTTATATGCAGCTAAGCCCACTGTACACAAGGTGAATGAACTGCAATATCAAATATTCAGTGTAAAAAAGGGTCGTATTGAACTGCATCAGCTCCTGCCATGTGTAAACACCCTACGAAAGCATGCACTGACAGCAAACTACCAGACAGCAATATGGAGAAGTCTTGTCTCAACACCTCTTCTGACCCACCTCAACACTGGAAAGTTGAAATGGTAGATGGCAAAGAGGATGTCACATTTGATTAGCTGGATGAGGCCCAAGTTCCAGACACAGTACTGAAACTCCTGGCATGTAACTGTGCAAGATCATGTTAACTTCCAAAGTGTACATGCTTGGCAAATAACTTGAAGTGTTTGGAACTCTGTAGGCTGAAAAACTGTGACAACCAGCTTCTGGATGAGGAAAACAAACCAATGGATGAAAATGATGAAACCAAGAAACTAGAATTTGACGAAATGTACTGTTCATAATATTATAATCATGACAATGACAATACTAATTAAGTTTATATATGTGATCATTTTCTAGAAAATAAAAGGATTGATGATGATGTTGATGGGAAAATGGTGCAAGAACAAAGTATTGTATATATAACAAAATGCACTTTTCTCGGAAAAGGCCTGCGATACAAATCCAATTTCACTGTAAAAAACTTATCATGAAGCTCCTCTATTATTCTATGAAGTCAATAAATATATCGTCATTGCTTTACAATTTGTATAATATTGGTATTCCAACATTTTATTCATTACATATGCTCAGATATTAGGTTACCATGTATCACTTTTGAATATTTTGCATTCACATTTAGTCTGATAGGTAGTCTTTTCAACAGAGATTACTGACATAAAAGCTACTACATACAGATTGCTACCAGGTATAAATGTGTTCCTGAATAACAGAACTTTCAAATTATACCAATGAACCTTCCACCCAATTGGTACCTATCGAACCAAATTTGAGCACCTACCTGATGGACTGTTACCTTAGAGTAAATCACAATCATCTAGTCAGCCCTGATTTAAGAATAATGTACATGTATGTAACTGAATGAACTTTTGAACATAACTAAGCATATTTATATGAAAAACAACTAACATGCTAAACAGCTATATTAGTACATAAAAGTATTTAAAACAGCAAGTGACAAAAAGAAAAATATTTTATTCAGAATGCACAAACATTTTTACTTGGCTCTTCAAACAGTATCTGAGGAGTATACTATTAACAGAACCAGACAAAACTGAGTTCTACAAGTTGAAACTGCAACTTAAAAATGCTTTGGAATTGTTATATAGTGCAACCGCATGCAGTTGCAGCTCATAAGAAGTAGCTATGGAGATCTGTCACTGCTTACGACTCAAATCAAAACAACGTTTCTATATACAAAGGTTTTTAGAGAAGCAACATATATTCTCAATACTTTCAATATTAAAAAACAAAAATCAAGTTAAACTACATTAATGGAGCATGTGTGCACATTTATATTAACCCAAGGTGTATTTTTTTTACCAGTATCAAATGGATCAATGTTTAATCACAAGCTGTTATAGCAAAGTACAAGTTTCTTTCACATAATCTTGAATTTGTTTGAAATAAAAAATTATGATTGTGTGTCTACATTTCAATCAACCTATAAAATATATTTCAAAATGTCATACAGAAAATCTTAAATTTTCAAACCAATATACAACACACAGAAGTTAAGAAGGGACATAATGTCTCAACACCTTCTAGCTAAACAAATGCATTCATTATTTCATGGTCCATTTAAGGTGCATTCAGACTATAAAAACTTTCTTCATAAACATCACTTTGAAATTAACATTACTTTTATGCAGAATGTTTCCAAGAATGAAGTGTTAAAAAAGGTTTGTCTAACTAGAGCATTAAACTTTCATCTTTAGTATTGAACACGACTGTCACCACTGCATCTACATACACAGTTAATCATATACCTGACATACAGACACTGAGGATTTGGGAATTACTTAAGTTACTAAAAATATATTTTTTCTTCTTATACTATATAAATATAGGTTTACCGTGGTGTGTAAAAAGTAACTAAACACTATACACATGATTAGTTAAGATGCACATAGGTCTTTTGTAAATAAGACAGTTCAAAAATCAAACACTTTGTTTTGACAATACAAGTGTGTGCCTGGGTATAATGCTTCAGTTCCATGATACTATTCCTGCCACTGAACATTTGCATTTCAAAATAATCAATTTCAGTAATAATCTCTGAAACATGTCATTAAAGGTGCATCTCAAAAATGTCATTTGTTTGGTATACTTTAAATAACAGCATAGTTTTCATACCTGTCTAGTACATTAATACTCAAAATGAGACCATTAAAAAAATGTTTCCTATAATTAATCTCCCCCTCTAAAAAACTTTTAAGAGAAAATGCATCTGAAATGATTTTTCTAAACTTTATAAATATGATTTGTAAGAAAGTTTCCAGGCTGGATGCACTTGTGCATGTAATATGTAAACATAGGTAGTTAAAAATCGTGATTAAGATTCTTACTCTTACATTCTTTTTCTCTCATGATATAGGAACAAACCAAAAAATAAACGGTAAAGACAGGAAATTAACTGAAGGTAATCTAATCTTTACAAAAGAAAAAAATATATATATACATATAAAAATTTCAGGAAAATTTTGTTCCTCAATAAAGCAATTCACCTATTACTATGACTACCTAAGCGCATAGTTTTTTCTATCTCAAACTGTCGATGATCAACTCTTTGCAAAAATGCTTGTCTATCTAAATATCCATCTTTACTTTTGAGGAACTGGTTCAGTTCTTCACCAATACCTTCTTTTTCTTTAAAAGTACTCCAGTCAAGTTTAGATTTCTCTAAAGCACTCATCTTGGGCTTCTTAGAGAGCTGGCCTAACACACTAGTAACTCCCAACCTTTTCACAGATTTTGGTAGAGCTTGTGTAGACTTAATTTGTGAATTGGAATGTTCTCCAGACTTTTCTTCCTTTCCAAGAAACTGTTTAGCTTCTTTTGATGATGCTTCTACCTCTTTAGTGATAGTTACCAATTCACCAGCAAAATCATATTCCTTTGTAATGGCTATTTTAGTACTTTTTGCAAGATCTGTATTATTTGTAACCTTATCTCCTTTAGAAACAGTAGATGAACTTTCTTCTGCACAACAGAGCTTCTGTGATCCAGACTTGGTTGGAGGGTTGACATCATTCAAAAAATCAGACCACAACACATCTGCTTTTTGTTTTTCATTCTGTTTTGGAGATGTTTCTTTGTCATCCAATTCAGTATCATGTTTGGGAGACTTCTTAAGAGAATAATCTTCTTCTAACTGAATTCCTTTCCTTCTAGTTCTCCTAATATTTACTCCAAGATTTTTTATTTTAGCCTTTCCTGACTTCTTGTAGGTGTTTTCATCATCATGGTTTTCATTGCTTAGCAAGTGTTCATCAACAGATGCTTCACTCTCACTATCGTCACCCGATGGCACATAATCTTCATCATCCTCACTCTCAGAATCTTCATCAAATTGCTCTAGTTCTCTTTCAGACATTTTGATACCAAAGGAAATAAAACTGTTAAAAAGAAAATAAATAAAATCAACTCCTAGTTTACAAAAATGGAAGAAATTGTAAATATTTCAAAAGAATCTACACACAACTTTAAACATTTAAACTTTAAACTAAAATACTAATTTTACAGTAGTTAGTTTACTTTTCAGTGGTGTTACTTTTACCAAAAGTATTTTGTATATAATTTTGGTGTGTCATACATGTATGCCCTTAGTTCTATCAACCTACAATGAAAAGTTAGTTCTCTATGAACCTCTTTAGACAATAGTATTGGTTTGGAAGATGTGTCCTGATTACATCAAATCTAGAAGTATTTACTTGAACAAGCTTAATGAAAATCCTTGCTTTAATTTAAAAAGAAAACATTGATGATATCACAATCCACAAAACTGAAAGACTTGATTGTATATACAATGTTATACTTCTTAACAGGAAAATGTATATATTTCAGTGTAACTGTAGGGAAAACACCAGCTTCAGCAACAGTCAAAGTTCAAGTAATGACCTTTTAGAGTTAATTAGTAATTTAATTAAACAACTTTATCACCAACTTACTGCAATAAAACAAGTTTGAAGAAAACAAATGTGAAGTTTAACAGTTGAAACTATGAAGACAAGACGACCAACATTCAACCAAAGTGAATCATCACAAGTAAAAGGTACTGTCTATTTTATTTCATATCTTTTTAATTTTCGTTTCACTGTACATTGGTGATTTCACTATAGTTAATGTTAGGATAGAGAAAATAAAGAATAGTTTTATCATAAAACCAAACAAAAAAACTCAATATTCATTTAGGAGGTTCAAGATGTTATGAAAATTTTAAGATGAAAAAGTTTTATTTTTTTCACATAAAAACCACTTTGCGTTCAAATAGATTTAAAAATTCATATCCAAATCTTTAATGTAATACTTTATTGAAAATTATGTTTTTCATTGCACAACACCTAATAACATTTACTGAAAGTATGCCAAATTTTGTGAAGATACATGTAGTAAATTAAGAATTATAGTAAACCTTATCTATAGCTTCACACACACATAGGATCAGTTTAATGGCCCGACACAATATGACATAGGCTTGATCGATATAACTGATTATCTACTAGCAGAAATTACATCAATTAGCATCCTGTAAACAAATCAAAATTATGATTACAGGCTGACACAAAAATAATCACTTAATCAAAGTTTATGATTTTGATCATTACTTTATAAAATTCTTCCAACTATCTGACAAACAAAATATTGGCACCATGATTTTTCATTAATATTTTCTATTAATTGAACTTTATTCACTTTCACCTATTAGTGTCTCTACTCATGAAAATAATCATCAATTGAGAATAGGATTTCAATTTGTTACTATCTGCTACTATCCCAACTCTCTAAGTAATATTGCCATTATGTTTGGGAATCAAACCTGAAACTTTCATTACAAACTATTCCCCTCCTCAAAGAAAAACAACAACTTATAACCATAAAATCAGGTTGTGGTATCCATCATGGGCAGATCACACAGATAAGTCATTGCTATCAAACTTGTTTCTCCTGTCAGCCATGTGGGGATAATATTTGTCTCTTTTGTTAATGCAAAGTTATTAAGTCTACATGCCACACTCACTAATTTAAAACTGCTAACTAGAGGGAAGGTAATTAAATGGCAGCATCTCCCATCAATTCCTGGGTTACTTTTAACATTAAAGTGTAAATTTAGTATGTTTTGTTCCTAATTTATAATAGCATTATCTGAAAATTCATTTTCAATAGATAATCCACACAGAATACTAACTTGATTCCATTGTGTATCTGCCTATAAGACTTGCATGCCACTAGCTTTGAGCAACCTACCACCTAAAAAACATTTAACGTGAACTGCATAGTGTCATTACCATTTAACAATAATCCTCCACTAATAGGAGGTCAACACAATATCCTTGCACAGTAAATTATCTTCAGAAATTGCACTCGATTTAACTTCACTGAAAATGGAGAAGGTAGACCGACAGTGTGAAGAGGCAAGTATCTATTAGAAATACATTTTCAAGTAAGGAAAATGTTAATTTCCAAGACGATACCTCATCTCCTCACACAGAATAGTTAGAATCCCATGCTGAAATGATGAAAGGGCCAGTGTAAAACATTAAACCTAGATAAGCTCCTTTCAGAAAGTGTGTTAAGAGAAAGCCAATGGAGTGTGACACCTGATGACGGAATTCATATAGGCACACCCATGAGAGACTGAATATTCTCTCAACCAAGATATACTCTTCACCTGGAAGGAAAGACAAAGGAGCCCCAAATGTCACAGGGATGGGCAGAATTTTAACAAGACCAACCAAGTGTGATTAGGGCACGATCAGACCAAATGATGTCTGTCTGACCATGACTCAACTGGACAAACAGGAATGGAGGTGATGAACTCGTCCTACTGCAGGAGGAATGCACACAAGCTGTGTAAGGGTGACCCACAATACACAGACAGTGTTATCACTGTCCTACTTCTAACTGTATTGTACTGTACACAGTCAGTGAGGAACTCCATAGTAAACCACCTTATCAGAGACAAGCCTGACAGAGAAACATCTGTGTAGAGATGAAATTCAGGTTGAGGAGGTAGCAAGAGTATGTCCACAAATTACTGGCATGATCAGATGTACCAATTATTGGGCAGGTGTGAGAAAAAGTCTAGGAGGACCTCAAAAGCCAGCCTAGCCCAGATGCCCCCCGCAGAAGAATGCAGGTGTAAGAGAAGTCCTCCTCCCGAGAAGGGGTGAGAAGTTAATCATCCATCTAATAATGGAATTCTAGCCCCCAATATGTGAATATGGCAGGCAAATGCCCCATGACTTGATCGATCTAATACATAAGAAGTAGACGTAATACTACAAGAAAAAGCACAGACCTGGAAGATTTGATCCCGGTAGACAAAACAAAGAAAATGTCTGGAAGAAAAGGCAATCAGGATATTTAAAATGGTGTCCTATCAACCTTGGTTACCCACAGACCTTGTGAAAAGAACCACTGGAGAGAAAATAAACCTTCCATATGGAACTTAGATATAAAAAAACTGGTTGAGAGACGACAAATAGATAACCAAACACCATTCCCTGGTCTTCTTGAGGACCACAAATGGATAAGAGTATTACCCCTAACACTACAGGAAGAGTCAGAAGACAATCACATTTGTAGACTAAAATTCAAAATTTTATTAAACCACTATTTTAGGAATATGAGGCAAATTGTAGTTTATGATTCATATTTTAGTATTATACATTAATTAATTTCTTTATTTAAAAGCAAATATTTAAAAAAACTGTTAATATCAATTTTTGTTTGTCCCACGGTGTGTTTTCAGATTAGAATTTATGACATCTCTTGTTTCTTACAGATTAGAAACTCAAATTACTGATACTGACAAGCTAGAATATAAAATAAAGACATTCTACCTCTTCTATTTGCCAAGATTGATTTAGCAAATCCACCACAGTGGCTCCACCCACCTCTTCCATTTTTTGAAATACTTGTTTTCAAATTCCCACTTCTTTCAATTATAAGTTCATAACTAATCGAAAGCAAACTTTCTAATCTGTTTACTCCCCCCAGCCTTTATAAAGTATTTAGGTAAGAAAACATTTATTTTTCCATTTGAAATTTGACAACTAATAGCAACTCAAAATAGTGATCTGAAATTTATTTATTTTTTTACACAAATATAGCTTAGTTAGGAAACCTGATAAATAACAGTGGAATTTTGTGATATTTGTATAGTAATTTCTAATTTTTGTTTTTCAAAAGGCATCTATAAAACTTCCAGAAATTATTATTTTTTACATTTTCTACATGCAAGATTGGACAAAGCTAAGCAAATTATGACAGGCAACTGCAAACTACGAAGAAACTTTGTTACATTGTAAGTAGTGGAGATCATCATTTTCTATATTTTTATTACCTCTGCCACAGAAGGTCGATGGAGGTATGTTTTCACCCATGTGATTATTTGTTTGTAGGAAAGTTTCTTGAAAACCACAGAACAGATTTGGATGCAAGTTGGTATACATCTGAACTATGGCCCAACTTAGAAGTGATTAGTTTTTGGAAAGTCAAGGTCATAAAAATCCAAAAATCACTATCTGTTCACATGGAGACCGATTTGTCACACTATTTTTGCTTTATAACTCAGTAAAAAATAACTGGATTTTGAGGAAACTTGGTGGACACATGTAAAATATTATTTTTGACTGTCTTGTAAAAAAAATGGTCCATGTCTGTTGATAATGACGGATATGCGTACACATTTTAGTATTTTTTTTTAGAGCCAATGCCATGTGAGTGCCCTTCTAGTTCACTGTTCCATGTTTTAAAAAAAATAACTGAAATTTAAACATTTTTATATAATAATAATAATATGTATACATATGTAATGTATGATAACTGAAATGTGATTGTATTTTATAAAATAGTGGTGTGCTAGCACAGAGCTAAAATCAGTTTCATGCTATTGGACACAGTAATGTAAGATGCACATGTGCAATGTGGTTTATAACTTCCATGGCACTACTGTTAGTCAGACAAAAAACTAATAAATATAAAAAAATGCATACTGTTACAAGATTTGAGCTATAAATAAACATTTGTGGTTTCTTTTTACAATTTCCAGTCATTCTAAAAAAAAAAAGAAACATAACTAAGACCTATTTCTTAATTTTTTATGGAGGTTATTAGGTCAGTAAGTTGGCAAACTCCATACAGAGATAAGATCAGGACACGATTTTTAAGAAGTAAAATAGTGCTTGCACTCCTTCTCGCTTCTTAACTTTGTCCAAGAAGCATAAACAACAGTGCTCTTTAACATTCCAGGAGTGGATTTAAAAAAATAACTAATTATCATAATCTGATGGCAAATGAGGATTTCATTCACTTTGATCATGTAGCAAACATACTTTTAAGTTGAAGTGGTTCGACGATGCACATTCAGATTGATGTACTTCAAGACAAATTTCCATTGGAGATTGACACACTGCTCAAACTGGTCAACAGAAAACTTTCAACTAGAATAAAGCCAATCAGTATTGATGTTACATAAACATTCACCATAAAAGAGCAAGCATAACATACAACTTATTCCATCATGAAATGCAACCCCAACACAAGGCCAATCAATATCATACATACATGCAATATTCAACTCAAGTTGTTTTTTCTTGTGAGGCCTAATTTTAGCAATCAAAATAAAGAATTGTTACAACAGTGGAGGTCGCATGACTCTGGGAGCATGCGCTCTGGAGATTCGGGAAGTATCATGACTTAGCGGGCAACCTCATGAATGTCCCAGCGTTTGCTAGACGCCCTCTTTTTTAGTATATAAGCCGGAGATAGATTGAA